CTCTTTTATTGCTTTATTACTACTGCTGTTTTTGTCCTTTCGTACAATATGTTTTACAAAAAAGAAAGTCGAAATGTAAAAAGAACTTTTCTGAGAAATATTTCTTAGAATTATTTTGATTTTATATATTTATTATATGTATTTTATATAGCTTAAATAATATTTAATATGTCCTTAATTATAAATTATGCAAAATAATTCTTAAATATTAATTATTGAAATAAAATATCTACCATTACCCGAAATATGATAATTGCTTTTTTTTACATTCAATGACTTTGAAATCTTTACAACATTAAATTTTATCTGATTATTTTCGCAACGAAATCTCATATGCTTTGAAATGTATATCTAAACCTAAAATAACACATTTTCTGTAGTAAACAAAGATATCTCTATTTTCATCCAACATAATCCAACATAATATGAATCATTATTCCGAATAATAAATTGTTTTCATCAGGATTTGCAATTATTACAAAATTACGTTTAAATAAAATACTATTAAATTTTACCCACAAAACTTCAACCAAGCGTCTATTATTTATTTGGAGAATGTTAGTCGATTCAATTGACGCTATTTCTATGTTTTTCCTATTTTTAATGAGTCATCGATACCTTTGTTAATTAATAATCTATAAGAAAATTGAAGTTGTAATTTTATCGCATGATGAAATAATATTTCTTCGAGAAATCACAACAGATGCATAAGTTTTCGATAACTTATGAAATCCCTCATATCGAATGAAAGACAAATATTTTAATGGTCTCATTTTTCGAATAATTCCAGGATAATGAATTAGGAAATAAAATTTAGGTTTTAATTATTCTTAATAATTGCATAAATATCTCATGATGTGAAAAAATCAAATATCTCAGATAATTTACTTGATCATCAGATATAATATTTTCTGTGGTTATTTTAATAATTTCACACAATACAAGATAGAATTTCCAAATTTCATAATCAGGCACAAGATCTCCGATGAACAAAGAGAGATAGCATACCAACGCTGACATTTCAGCTGCGCTTATTATTAAACAACCTTTATTGATATGATTATTTCTAATCAAAGGAATTTTATTTCCTCGATCAAAGTCTGACTGATGATTAAAATATTTAATTTGGTAATTTAAATGCTCTAATGTCACATAATTTTTATTTACAAAATGTTGTATAATCTTCGCGAGATCATATCGACAAACTCCTTCAAAGAGATCATGCATTATATCGTACGTATAATTTGTTGTACAATCGAAATGCGAGATTTCGTTAAATAATCTTCTTTTACACCACATGAAAAATTTGCAAGATCTTAAACATAATTTTCAATATGCGCAATAAAGTTTCATTTTCAAATTTTGCAAAGCGTCTTATAGATTTTGGAGCTCTACAAATACGGCAAAAATATTTATTAACAAAGTTTTCATTAAAAGCTAAAAGACTATTGAGATCCAAATTATCTCCTAGTAAAGTTACTACAACAAAATATACTCTAGTTTTACAATTCTTTTTATCACACATAACGATTTATTCCTGTATTACTTAAAAATTTTATTTCTTCAATGACTTATTGAAACATTTGGCATTTCCAAAGTGCGTTCCATCAGACGAATAAATAAATTATATTAAGAAAATATTTTCTAAAGGAAGCATGATGAGATAAAGTTGGTATAGACCAAGGGGTGTCTCACTGAGTAAAAATTTGTACATGTATTGCGAATTATCAGGTAATTTCAAGTAATTCCATGTAATGTACTCTAAGTAATGCGACATAATACGGAACAATTCCATAAAATATAAAATAATTCTATGTAATGCAAATATATTTCTTTATAATTTTTTATTTTGCAAAGTATACATATTATAAATTTAAAAAAATGTCTTATTTTAAACTTTGTTCCAATTATTAATTAAAAAAAAATCTTTTATTTTAAACTTACGAATATGAACACATAAAATACAATACTAATCTTTTGTATTCTGTTCCAGCATCATCTAATATTGAAATATTAAAACAATTGTTTAAAATATTTTGAAATTCATTAGATAATTTTTTTTTTCAATTTATCGTGAAAATGTTCTGAAATATTCTGAATAATTTCCCTCAATTCCTCAAGAATTTCTTGGACAATCAATTAGGAACTTTTTTTTTGTTTTAGATTAGTTAGTTGTAATAATAGTTGTAATAAGTTATTTGTTATATAGCGATGTATTTCATAATATAATTCCAAATATTATTAGATTCTAATACATCTTTCTCTTTTGGAGAATTATCATAATCGAATGAGAAATTATGTGTAGATTTTTTTTATGATGAATATCTTTTATTATAAGTGTATTATTTTGAATTATTTTATTAGAAACTGATTTTGTTTGATTAACTCGAAGTGAACATTTTATTAAATGTTTTTCCAAAGTAAAAATTTATAAAATTTTCTATAACAATTTGAGAAAATACAGTTATACGATATTTCAAATGAATGATGAGACTTCAAATGTTTTAGATGTATTTGAGTATCTCCAGAAATTTGCTTTAAACAAAACTGACAATTTATTTTGATTAATTGTACCATCTCCAATTTTATCTTTCTTTACTTTAATGTCTATATATGTGCTTAATATCTATTAATCGATTTTATAAGTTTAATGAATAATATTGAATTAATACAAAAATCAAAAAATAAAACGCATACAAATATTGCTTAAAAATAATAATCTAAAAAAATTGCTTGCTAATTAATTTACACAAAATGAGAGAAAGTAAAGGTTAGTAACTAGAAATTAAGAAGATTTCTAAAAATACTTCAGAAAATTATAATCGTTTCTAAAAACATAAGAAAATAATTAACTTTGTTTTAATTTATTTAGAATCTAACAAATGGAATTTTTTGGTCCAAAGATGTATAAATTTCATAGATGCTCCATTGAATCAAATACCAAAATTAAAGTGGTCAAGTAGGCGTAGAGAGCTAAAGACCAAAATCAATAATATAGATTAATTAATCAATATAATAATAATAATTATATAATATATATTATATATATATGTATATAATATATTAATAATTCATAATTACAAGCTCAAAAAAACAGATATAATATATATATATATAATATATATAGATATTAAAGATGTGTGCGAACGTTTCAACTTACTTTTAAGTCATCTTCAGTGCAAAGTTTGTATCGAGAATAGAGCATTTGATAAAAAAGTTCGCAGAGAAAGAAAGCAGTAAAAATATATGCAGAAAGAATATAAACTAGTACAAATCTTAAAGGAGATACAACTCCAAACGCTACGGTTGTTCATAGTTAATTGTAAACGGCTTCTGATTTTTTCCATATGAAGTGAAACCTCTCTCGATTGGGTTAATTGGCCCAAAGTGGTTGAGTATGGTATATTTTTATATTTATTTTTTTATTTTTATTTTAATTACCTAACTGTTTTTGGACCGCATATATCTTTGATTTTTATACCAATCATTGTTTTATATTATTGACTCATTATTTTTTCTTTTCAATTATTTATTTATTTTTCTATTATTTATATATTTATTATTCTTTAAAATCTATTATTAATTTTATTTTCAATCATTATTTGACCCTTCTAAAAACACTTACATTGCTTAATAATTTTCTATAGTCTACTTTACTTTTAATAATTTTCTATAGTCTACTTTACTTTTATTTTTATTTTTATACGGTTTTACAAACTTTTCCATATGGAGTGAAACCTCTCTCGTTTGGGTTAATTGGCCCAAAGTTTGAGTATGGTTCCTTAGAAAGTCTGTAAAACCGTATAAAAATAAAAATAAAAGTAAGTAGATATAGTTAGACTATAGAAAATTATTAAGCAATGTATTAAGTGTTTTTAGAAGGGTCAAATAATGATTGAAAATAAAATTAATAATAGATTTTAAAGAATAATAAATAATATTAAATAATAAAAATAAATAATAATAAAAAGGAAAAATAATGAGTCAGTAATATAAAACAATGTGTGGTATAAAAATCAAAGATATATGCGGTCCAAAAACAGTTAGGTAATTAAAATAAAAATAAAAAAATAAATGTAAAAAAATATAACATACTCAACTTTGGGCCAATTAATCCAAACGAGAGAGGTTTCACTTCATATGGAAAAAATCAGAAGCCGTTTACAATTAACTATGAACAACCGCAGCGTTTGGAGTTGTATCTCCTTTAAGATTTGTACTAGTTTATATTCTTTCTGCATATATTTTTACTGCTTTCTTTCTCTGCGAACTTTTTTATAAAATGCTCTATTCTCGATACAAACTTTGCGTTGAAGATAACTTAAAAGTAAGTCGAAACGTCCGCACACATCTTTAATATCTATATATATTATATCTGTTTTTTTGAGCTTGTAATTATGAATTATTAATATATATATTGATTAATTAATCTGTATTATTGATTTTGGTCTTTAGCTCTCTACGCCTACTTGACCACTTTAATTTTGAATTTACGGAGAGAATTTACAGATACTTTATTACTTTTTGTCAAATACCAAAAATTCTCGCATTCTTTTGAATAGCACGCATTAAAAGTGATAAATATTTTAAAAAGTACATCAACGGCCTTCAATACAGATGGTATTTCATATATAGTTTTGTCGAATCGCACATATATTTTATCGATGGAAGTTATTTAGAGACTAACAACAATAATAAAAGGCTGCATTGTAAGATTCATCTGAAACATTTTGTTTTGTTTTTCAATACACATTTGTTCAATATCTCCAGGTATCTGAAAAAAGAAAAAAATATTAAATTACATTTTACTAACATAAAAAGTAATCAATAATAATTATTTTTTAAATTCAAATATTGATAATAAATATATATTGATAAATCTTGCAATATACCTTGCATAATAATACCATCTCGACTTTCTCGAGAAAAAATTGTAGGTTTCTAAATTCTTCTCCGATTTTTATACTAATTTTCATTGATTTAGGAGCTAAAATAGCTATTAAAATCCAAATCTGAAGGAGTTTTTTACTATCTACAAAGTTATATCAAATAATTAAAGATAATATATATTTAAGATAAGATATATTTTATTTTATAATCATGTAATTTTATAATGCATTTAAATTTTATAATAAACATGTAATTTTATAATCATTTTGATAGATAAATATCAATACAAAATAAAAAGAGATATAAATATTTACTTAATTCCAAAAATTATGACTGGATGAGAATCTGATTGAGTCGATCTTCTGTTGAAAGATGTTTTTCTAATAATTTGTAATATTTTTCAAAATGCAAATTCCATAATGAAATCAATTTATTTTTGCATTTCAGATATTTTCTTTCAAAATCTCTTCCAATCTGTAAATACAAAAAAATATACAGTACAAAAAAATGTTTATTAACTATACATTTTACATATGACTGCAATTAAATACTATACATTCAAAATTTATAAATTTTTATTATTAAATTATTTTGAATTTATCTGCACATATGCACATATAAACATTGTATATATGTTGTATATTATGTTGTATATATGTTGTATATATATTGTATATTATTACCAGTACATATCCAGAATTCAAAATTAATATTGACCATTTTTTTGTTATATTATTAATATTTTTAAATAATTTATTTGTGTCAATCACATAAACGTAACTCATATGATTTGTCCCAGTTTATTATTATTTCGTCCATTGGATTTTGGTTATGAATTAACCAAATTCTGTGCTGTTCCCCAATTTCTAAATCTATATTTAAATTTTAAAAGATTATATATAGGGAATAAGGCACTTACATTTTCAATTTTAAAAGAAAAATTTTAAGATAAATATTGCAATTTAATATTAAATGTTTTTAATAATTTTATATGCTTTTACTATTTTTGTATAGAAATACCTATGTTGTTAACAATGTTTTCTTCAATTTGCTTTGATTTTTTTCAATTTATTGATACAATTAATGAATTTTATATCATTATGAAATCTATCCACTAATTTTCCTCGTGAAATTCCTGTTTTATCTTCTTTAGAATCTTTTTTTATGAATTGATGGTATAAAGTAAATTACTTTGCTTTCATGTGGAAAGAGTTTAATGATTTCATGAGAAATTTACTCAAAATCTTAGTTTTTAAGCAATCTTAAAGAGATTAAATATATTAAATATTATTACATAATAATATTATTACATTTCATATACAGGGTTGGGCAAAAGTCCGGAAACGGTCAAATATCTCGAAAAGGATCAACTATAGCGAAAAATTGTAAATAGCAAAGTTGTAGGGCTTAAAAAAATGTACCTAATGATGACTAAAAATTTTACTTTGAGTGGAGGACGAAGATCATATAAAAGTCACTTTGAATTTTTTAAATGGAATCCCCTACTTTTTATTATATATTCTTGTAGCTTATCTCGAGAGCTTTCCAAAACATTATAATTAAGTACCTTTTTATTAAGTACTTTTTGAGTTATAAGGCTTGAAATAATTTCTTAATTTTACATAAACCATAAAATATCTAGTAAACCATTCATTTTTCGATTATCTTACCTTCATACTTTTATGTACAAAATAATGAGAGGAATCAATTGGTGTAAAGAAAACACATAGTTGTTGCATGGAATTGTTAATTGCAAATTACATATTTTTTCTTAGAAACAACTATGTGTTTTCTTTACACCAATTGATTCCTCTCATTATTTTGTACATAAAAGTATGAAGGTAAGATAATCGAAAAATGAATGGTTTACTAGATATTTTATGGTTTATGTAAAATTAAGAAATTATTTCAAGCCTTATAACTCAAAAAGTACTTAATAAAAAGGTACTTAATTATAATGTTTTGGAAAGCTCTCGAGATAAGCTACAAGAATATATAATAAAAAGTAGGGGATTCCATTTAAAAAATTCAAAGTGACTTTTATATGATCTTCGTCCTCCACTCAAAGTAAAATTTTTAGTCATCATTAGGTACATTTTTTTAAGCCCTACAACTTTGCTATTTACAATTTTTCGCTATAGTTGATCCTTTTCGAGATATTTGACCGTTTCCGGACTTTTGCCCAACCCTGTATATTGTTATGTTCACGCTCGGAGAAGGATGGATCGAAGGAAGGACGTAACACAGATAGTTTTTTCCCGAACTCGCAGTAAGAGGTAAGTGATTCGGATCGAACGAACTTTGAGACTCGAAAACAGGTAAATGACTCTCGTTAAGTTGCTATTACTCTGCTTCGAGCGTTCACTCGGTGGTCTCCTTTTCGGTAAGGAAATTCCTTTTACACGGAGCGGAACCAATGCACGATCTTTAATGATTAGGAATGAGAGCAGGATAATTAATTAATTAAGAAATTTAGTTACAAATTTTGATTTAACATTTATTTATATAAAAAAAATAATTGATAAATTTAGACATAAGAGAAGAATGAAAAAAAATTATAATTGAATGCGCTATATTTTGTGTGTGTGATGGGTATGTGTATGTTTTCTCGCAGATGTTACATGAGTACGGAGGTCATCAGTCAAACAGATTAAGGGGGAATGCTATTTTTATCTTTATGCTCGACTGAAGATTACAATGATTTTTAGGTTTTTCTTGCAAATATAAAATTAATTGTAGATGTGTGTAGAAAATGGAGGGGAAGAAAGAGGATTCCATTAAGAGTCAACGTCAGATATAATTATAAACAAAGAAGAGAGAAAAGAAATAAATTAAAGATTAGATTGACTTACAGTTTTCAATAAAAAACGTTAGTGGTGGTTGAGGTGCGACTCTCAGTCTGGACTCTTGGTCTTTAGCATCAAGGATGATGCTTGTGGCACTTGTTCGATGACCGAAAGTGTATATCCGCATCACGCAAACTGAGTATGGACTATTAAAAATCAATGACGAACTGAACTGACCGATCTAAAGTGATTGACTGAAGTGACCGACTGAAGTGATTGACTGAAGTGACCCAGTGCTTCTTGAGAGCTTCTCTTTTTATACCCGATTCGGTTTACTTTTCCGGTACGTGTCTTATCTTTTGATTAAATTTTAAAAATTTGTTCAGGTGTCTAAGGTTTCGAATTTTTGTAAGATTTATCTAGCTATTGTTGATTAGATTTATCGATTTAAGTCGGCTAAATTCGTCATTGATTTCTTATTTTCCTCCCTGATAAGTTTCAAAATATTACTATTTCCATTTACAGAGGGAGGTCTATGTTGTTTTATCGTCAATATATTTCTCTATTATTCTGTCTGTATTTTTATTTTCAAATAATTATTTGTTAAGGGGATCGGTTGCTTCATTGTTAGCATTTCTTGCACGTTTTTTCGTAATTACTCATAGATATTCGATGACAAATATAGATTATTATGAGGCACGAGAGGCTCTATTTGATCAATGATTTTGCTTATCAGTAATCGAACAATCGTTGCAATTCGTGAAATGAAGGAATTATGGAGTCGACTACGTCGGACGTAACAATTTATTATCCAACTGTTTGTTAATTATTACTAAACTATTTGATAATAAGTACTATATAATTTAGTAGACTCAACTAAACATAAAATGGACCGGAAGTAGGCGACGGGGGAGGGGGTGGAACAGGTGTACAGCGGGAGGAGGGGTGATCTGGAGAAGAGACCGGGGAATAACTCGGTATAAAGGGCGGAGAAGAGGGGTTAGGAGTGTATGTGCGTGTGTCGCGTTATATATTGTTAGCGGGCGAGTGGTTATTAAAAGACTATTTAAATTATTGTCATGGGGGAGTTCTGCCGAGAGTTGAGGCTGCTCCTCCCTCAAACGCTTATTCCGACGATTCCGCCATCACAACGCAGCCCGCCGTTTATCGTGAGGCACTAATAATAATTTCACGGTCAATGAGGGATAATTTACGAACTCATTAAACTAACTTTTTCTAATTCTATTACTGTTGTCATTGGGAAAAGATTCTTCAAGCTTAGACAAAATAATAACTAGTGCTGAAAGATTCAACTTCTACTTTTAACTGGGTTGTATAAATAAAGGATAGTTAAGTATTAAGTAAATAAAAGAAATAACATCCCACACAGCAAGATGATAACAGAAAGAATTCTTAATGTTCTCTCATTTAAGATATAGATATCTAAAAATTTCTTTAGAAAGACAACATAATGAGATCAGAAAGAGCTCTCATGCGCCATATCCAGAGAACGAAAGGACTTCTTCTGAAAGTCAAAAAAATAACTTTTTTGAGATATCTTATAATAAATATCAAAAAGATATCTTAAACTAGATATCTTTAGGAATTCATGTTTATGATGTCAATAAGACATTCAGTTTATGCATTCAAAACATTAAGATTCATATTCTGAATTTTCTTTTATTGATAAAAGAGGATTCAGAATATGGACCTAAGAAAACGCAAAGTCTTTGGTAAAATATTTTTAGCAAGCTTTCCAAAGTGAATTTTTTTCAATATAGCTATTGTTGACAATGTGAAAAATAAAGATAAGATATAAAGAATAATCAATTGTTCTCTGTTCTTCATACTGTCAAACTAAGCATCTCAACAGAGACTTCGTGCTTCTTTGGTGTTTTCAATTAACGCTACTTCAAATAATCATTATTATTAAATGATTTTTAAAAGTGACATTAAAATTTGTAATGAAAATTTTAATGTCATTAAATGATAACTTTATAAGTTAGAATTTACTTTTACAGATTCCTGTGTAGAAAGAAAGCAAGCCATTTATATTAGAAACATATTAAATTAATTTTAGTATCACTTATTTCAATAGCTATTTTGAAATAATATATTACTTAATTTATTTTAACAATAATTTATTATATAATACATATACATATACATACATACATACATACAAACATACATACATACATACATATATAGATAGATGCATATGTGTGTGTGCGTACGTACGTGCATGTGTGTGTGTTTACATATAATCACTTAAAAAAAATATTATTCAGATATGCTTGATATAAAATATATTCGGTAATTTGAATATTTATAACTTAATATGATCTAATGGAAAATCTAATCTTATCTTAAATGCTTATTTTTATTTTTTGTTTATTCTTTCTTCTTTAGGAAGACGATCGTCAGCATGTTGTAACCATGATTTAATAACAGCTTGTATTTTATCAATCGTAGAATTAATTATAGTCTCTGAAATAGAAAAATAAAAATAATTAAATTATAAAATATTTTTTAGATTATATAGATATTGTTACGTCCAGGCCCGAGGAAAGATGGGCCGAAGGAAGGGCGTAATACGTGTATCCCGAGAACAAGTGCCTTAAAGGCAAGTGTCTCGGGTCGAGCGAGCCTGCGGGTGAGCCAAAGATAGGTCAACGACCACAAGAGTCGATTTTACGATATTTCTGGTTCAAATGCCCGCTCGTCGATCCCCTTTTCGGTAAAGGAACTTAATCCCTTTTACCCGGGACGGGACCAAGTGCGATTCAGGAGCGTGGGTAACGAGGGGGAATCGATTAAGTTGAATGCAAAAGAATAGATTTAATTAAGTTTATTACACATTATAAAAGCCAAACGAAAACATTTATATATAAAGTTAAGTATTTATGTAAATATCTTAATCTTGATTAAGTACAATATTAAGTATAATCGTGTGTGTGTGTGTGTGTGGATGTGTGTGTATGCGAGACGGAGGGAGTCTGGTCAGGATCAGGAGGATATCTCTCTTTGAAGAATTCTACGGAGATAGGGTAATGGGTGAAGGGAGTAAAACAGGGAATGCAGGTATCAGAAGGGGCAGTCTGGAGAAAAGCTTTGAGGGTAGGTATGTGAATAGGACCAGGCCCCAAGGTGAATTGGTCCGGGAGGATGGGGTACGGGTACGGAGCATAGGTTGTACCGAGAATTACCGCGACGTTTCGATCGTTAAGATCGATGTCGGAAAAGACAGGGGGAGGAAGAACGGGAGGAGAGAAGAAATGAGAGTCGGGGAGAGTTGCATCGGGTGAAGAAGGAGAGGGTGATAGCGGCGGGAAATCAGACTGAAGGTCAGATTGTGTGTCATGCACCGGGGAGTAACTGGGAGGAAGAGTTCCGGGAAGCAGGTATGGGGAGTAATTAGGGGAAGGAGTGCGAGGGGGCGGATGTGAGGAGTCTCGCGTGTCTCCTTGAAAATTATTTAGAAAAATCCGCGTAATAAGGAGATCCGTGTTTATTTGACTTAAGTCTAGTGCAAATGAAGAGTCGGCCGCAGCCCGAGCCAGCAGTCGGCGGGTACGTCGATTACGGCGGTATCGAAATCGCTTAGCGTGGGCTCTAGCGGATTTCCTTGTGGGTTCCACTAGAGAAACGATTATTATAAGTAAAGGAAATAGACGGGGAAGGGGGAGGAACTTTGAAGATAAAAAAAAAGACTTACTATTTGCGAAAGGCGATTACAAGTGGAGAATATAGTCGTAATGGCTGCTGGGTCCCCTTTTCGTGTCGAAGACGAGACGGTGTTCTGGGTTGACTCGTTATGTGTATAGCTGACAGGAACGACTGAATATTCGCACTGACTCTATATGAAGGTTGATATGTATGTCTCGAAACTTTTGAGATACTGAGTGCGTATATGAACGCGTGAGTCAATGAATGAATGATTAATGATTGACTGAACGAATTTTCTGACAAGTGTTGTTCGAAGTTCGCGCTTATATATACGTTTTGGATTACCCTCTCCTAGCGTGAGGAATAAGGGAGGTTGACGAATAGAAATCTTTGTTAGATTTCCATGGTCTCCTCTCTACCCCTATTTATAAGCATTTTAGAACAAATGTAGCAAATCAGGATTACGTTCGTTCGCGAATAGGAGAGCATCTTCCAAAACGGGGGATTTAGGATTCTCAGTATCGCAGGTGGTAGTAATTTATGCTTTGCAGGATCCACAAGGGATGATTGTTACTACCCTCTTGCGATAATCGGTCACTCACGTTTTATGATTAGTTTCCTTTATTTTTTTGATTTTATGAGTTTTTAAGAAAATATTAAATTTGTTTGACTGAATGTCGCTTTATTTAGCCGGATGCTACTTTTATAGCCCGTTAACATCCGATTGTTATTTTAGGACATGTACTGAGCATCCCGCTTTAATCTAGCTATTATTATCGGCTCTAGAAATCGTGTACGGAATGTGCACCGGATACGGGAAAGAAAAGAATCGTAACATCCGATATCCGATCACTCGCGTTTTATGATTAGTTTCCTTTATTTTTTTTATTTTATGAGTTTTAGAAAATATCAAATTTGTTTGACTGAATGCCGCTTTATTTAGCCGGATGCTACTTTTATAGCCCGTTAATATCCGATTGTTATTTTAGGGCATGTACTGAGAATCCTGCTTTAATTTAGCTATTATTATCGGCTCTGGAAATCGTGCACGTGTGCACCGGGTACGGGAAAGAAAAGAATCGTGAACTCCCCTGGACGTAACAATATTTTAGAACATATAGATAGAATATAGATATATATTTTATAAAGCACTAAATTTTTAATCTCCACAATTTTTGAAATTATATTAACGAACTTCAAATAGAAAATATATATGTACAATATTAATGCTAATATTTATAAAAAAATGTAAGAAAGAATTTCATTATAATCATTGTCATCATTATTAAATATGATGATAATTATAATGGATAATAAAGGAGTATGCTTCAATTTTCTTATTGATTGTTTATTTTGAATATTGTTATGTTCTAAAAATTTATTTTGTATAAATAAGTAGTTATAAATAATTATTTAACTATATATACAGGGTCTACCAAAAGTGTGGAAACCCCTAAATATCTCGGAAAATATACGTTTTACAGAAAAGTGTTTCCAACAAAAGTTGTAGGGTTTAAGAAGATCTATATACTGATTCTATCAGTTTGACCTTGGATGGCGTCGTCAAGGTCAGGTCAAGGTCACATTGACTTTTTTAAATGACACCCCCTACATTTGATTGCATATTCTTATAACTTAATTCAAGAGCTTTCCAAAACACTATAATAATGTTCATTTTTATTAAGTACTTTGCGAGTTATGAGGGTTGAATGATAGAGTAGCGCCGGTATTAACATTATCCAAGGTGTACTACATGGAGGTTACTCGCTCGGATTTGCATCTGTTGTGTGTGTGATCCAGCTAACTAAGGCAAGATCGGTCGTGGATCCA